GCACAGACGAGTGTCATTGATGGGGCATCGATGTCCACCGTCGATGGTTACTTAGCCAAAATCTTAAAAGGGTAATTTTGACAACTCTCTGATATTACCGATGGATGTGTAACCTTGAAGGGGGACTAGTCGTTGATTGACCCACGATCGTCGATGGTGGTGTCGTCTGTGGGGACTGGTTTTCACTGCACGTTTTCACATAGGTTAATTAATTAATTGGATTAGTTAGGAACTCAATTAGGAATCAGTGGAGGTTTAATTGAGTTAGTTAACACCTTATATAAAGCCCTAACATACTTAACCAAACCTAAAACACTCATAATTCACAAAACTAAAACTCTCTTCCTTCTCTCTTCTTTCTCTCTCCCAAAGAAACCCCCATTGAAGACCAAGAGAGAGGTGGGTTAAAGGGCTTAAAAGGTTCAATTTCCACCACCAATCTTCATCAATTAGTAAGATATGTGATATCTTTCACCTTTGAGACCTCTTTCCTCAAAGAGCTTCATCAATTGATTTCAAAAGTTGAGTTTTCAAGTGGGTTTCATCCAATATCGACATTGATATTATGGATTACTTTGTTTATGATTTATTTTGGATATTATGAATATATTAACATGTGTTTTAACTCAATTATGTTATATCTTGATGAACAGGCCTAGTTTGTAGAAGATGACTTTTGCCCCTTAACCCTAGGTTGTGATCTTGATATATATTATACTATATTGGTTCAATTGAATTGGTTATTTGTTCAGTTACTATTAGATGATGTTGTTGTATCAATCATGAATAAATCAGGATGAAATATAGTCCTATCATTCTAGTTCTTGAGAAGTCGATCTAGGTTATGAAGTGTGTTGTGAATTGACCTAAGTATCTTATCTTAAGCTATGAACTAGTAATGAATTGTGATATAGTGATTCAATTGGCTTTGTTATAATGTTTGTTATGGTTATATAATGATACTACACCCTAATTGGGTTGAGTAAGGGTTTATGGTAAGACCTTGAAGATGAATTATTAAGGAGACTTGGTAAATCATGATGTTATATTGGAGTATGCCTTGTTTTAGGATTTATAGGGTTGGTATGATGTTGAACTAAAATGTCTTGACTATGTTTTGTGAGATGTCGTCTAAGATGTAAATGTTATAAGGATGGTGATGATTTACCAATATGCATTATCATGATATGAATATGCTAATGTGCTAACCTCACCTATACGAATTGTAATGAAAGGACAATGTTAATGCAATTCTTATTGAGCTACGATGATTTTTATACAAGGGTTAGACTCAATGACCTACATTCAGTTTGATGATTAATAAAGACATTTCAAAAGGGACTTATCTTAGCATTGAGTGAACTTGTCAATGGAACGTGTTGATTTCCATAGATAAAGATCCACCCTATAGTTCCACATGAGGTGTTGACTCCCCTATGAGGGATACTCATCCATTGGATTCCCATGAGTGGAGGCCCAAATTTCCAAGTGGTATGTAGAGGGATTATACCTATCTCTTAGTTCTTGAACTATGTTGCCCCCATCGGAAGACTAGCTAGTGGATCCACCTAGAAAGCTAGGTTTATTTTTGGTTTTACTTTGGCTGGTAGACCACCTTTCTTCGGTGTAAGGTTTTACAACACCGGATTCCACACTTTCCTCTTGTGGTCTATGTCGGTTAAGTCAAGTGTTTCCTAAACTAAAATGAAGTAATGAAGTACAAACCAACTAGGGTGACATGAGAGGTTGACTTAACTTAGGTAGGGGTATGAGACTCTACCTATGCTTTGCTTTAGTTTGTCTTGAAGGGAACTTTAGGAGGTTGTTATTATCTATGTATATGCTTACAATGGTACATGATATGCAGATGATGAAGTTGCACATTGTTGATACTATATGTTGATTAGTGTCACTTATGAATATATGTTGGTATACATTGTTAAAGTATGATGTTATGTACTCTTAAATGCTATGCTATGTGAAGTAGGATGTTGTTCATGATTCTTGTTGGGTTACTTGATTGATTAAGGTTATGGGGAATTGTTTGGTCATTGCACTTGTCGACTTGCTAGGGGTTGTGGGTAATTGTGTTTATTTGGTTATGTTATCATGAACTCTTGCTCATGCTTGTTGAGGCTATGATTTGATGGTTGAGTTGCTTTGACTATATGTTTAATGATATGATATGCATGTTGACTTGACTAGTTTTGATGTTATTGGTCTTGTGATGTACATGCCTATGACTTAATAAATATGTCTTGTTGATTTGGTATGGTCTTGTTTAATGTGCATAAAGGTTTTCAACGTAAATTGCATACTTAATGAAATGTCCCTTTTTAGCATGTTTCATGATATGTGTGCATATGGTCACATACTTAGTACAAGTGGTGTACTAACCTCATTTCTTCCTTTTCCCCAACGTTTTAGGTATCTTCGTTGGAGGCTTTTGGAGACGACTTTGAAGAAGACATGGAATTTATGATCATCCAAGTTGGGTAGGTCATCACTTTCTGAGGGTAATGCTACTATCAAGCCTATGATGTTTCTTTAGTTTTAAGACTCTTATGATCTTTCCTTTTCATTTGGATATTAAACGTTGTATAACCTATATGTGGTCTTGTTTCATTGTTGTATGGGATAGACTTAATTTGATATACTCTTATTAGATGGTTATGAGATGATACGACTATTTGAGACTATGTTATATTATGTATATCTATGTGCAATAAAAGTAGAACACTTAATAATCTTCCTATACGAAGGGTCTATGTATACTCGATATATATCAATTACGTGTATGAGAAGTACTTATAATTGTCTCCAGAAAATTGCTATGCTTGGAGCAAATTTGCCGAGTTCGAGAGGTCCTTGTATGAAATGGATAGAGCTAGGGCTATTTTTGAGCTAACTTTTGGGGTGTGAGTTAGGCCTAAGACCAAATTTCACATGGTATCAGAGCAGACCCGTCTCACCCGATGTTGAGGCCCCCCTAAATTAAAATTGTCCACGCACCACATGCTAAGCACTGGGCGTGAGGTGGGGTGTAACAGAATGACAAAAGTCCCACATCGCTGGTTAATGAGATAGGTGGACTCACTATAAGGCTTGGATAATCCTCCTTCCTATGAGCTAGCTTTTAGGGTATGAGTTAGGTCTAAGACCTAATTTCACATGGTATTAGAGCGGTCCCGTCTCACCCGATGTTGGGATTTCCCAAAATCAAAATTGTCCACGCACCAGATGCTAAGCACTGACGTGAGGTGGGGTGTTAAAGAATGACAAAAGTCTCACATCGACGGTTAATGAGATGGGTGAACTCCTTATAAGGCTTGAACAATCCTCCTCCCTTTAAGCTAACTTTTGGAGTGTGAGTTAGGCTTTAGACCTAATTTCACAAGGGTGACATTAATTATAATTTTAAAATGTTTATGAGTAATAGAATTCTTTAAACTATGAATATGTAGTTGGAAATTCGACAATCAGTTCGTGGGTTCTTTGGGCCAGTTGCTCTTATATTGTATGCATTTGCTCGTATAAACTCATGGATTGAAAAATTAAAAAAATCATTACCTAAACATAGTATTTTGTGAAAATAAAAATAAAAAGTATTTTGTGAAAGTCAATTTTAAAACTTCTATCATTATCTTCAAGGGAAACAAAAAGACGAAAAAATATTCATGGATATTTATGTTGGAAGAGGATGAGTCATATGACAAGGAATTATGAACGAAAATCATCTAATTTATGTTTGTTTCTAACTTTCTAATCTTATCATTTTAATTAACTTAGTCATTAAAACGTGTGTATTTATACTTCAAAATTGGAAAGAGTCGCCACTTTTACTGATTCAAAAGATCACATTCCTTTAAATAAAGTATGTTTTGAATTTTTTTTTTGTTACTTTTTTTTTATATATATAAAATAAGTGTTTAATAAGTTATTTAACATTAAGAAAGACAAATTATAAAAACACCATATTACTATTTCTTCTTAATTTAATAAAAAGTAATTTTATTTATTTGGTTTTTAATTTAACGTTTTTCACTTTTAATACAATATTATAGTGTATAATAAAATATAACATAGAAATAAATTGATATTAACATATAAAAGATATTTAAAATTGTTTATAAGAAAGTATTATTCCATGTGTTTATAATAATTAAAATATGTATATGGTTTGCCGGTTTAATTATTTCTTCACGGGTTTTCGGTTGGATAGTATTAATACCTAATCCAATATTATTGAGTTTTAAAAATATAATTAAAGTTAAGTTAAATCCAAATAAATTCAATTTATTTTATTAATTTGATTCAGTTATTTTTATGTAAATAAGTTTTTACTCAAATTTAATAACTTTTTGTTATTAAATACTCCATTTTGTTCCACTTTTCTTCTTTTGCATACTTCTCTATGAGCTCGACCCAAATTTTAACATGTCTCAATTTTTACATTTTACAACAACTTTCTTTGTTATAAAATTTTGAATATTTTACGTATGGCCTAACTTTTATTTTATTTTTATTGAGTACTCCATTCAGTTTTACTTTTCTTCCTTTGCTTACCTCTCCTTTGGTCTAACCCAATCCCTGACATGTCTAATTTTTTACAATTTCAATCTATTTTTATTCAAACCTTAAACTCTCAACTTGTGGCCTAACTTTTTTTTATTTGTGTACTCTTATATAGTTTCACTTTTCTTCCTCACTTCTCCTTTGGCCCGACCAAAACTCTAATGTCTCAAATTTTATGTTTTGCAACAATTATTTCCCTTAAATTTTTTTTGAATAGTATACATGTTACCTAATATTATTTTAATTTTATTGAGTACTTCATTTGATTTCACTTTTCTTCTTTTGCCTACTTCTCCTTTGGTTCGATTCAATTCCACTCATCACGTGTTTCAATTTTTAACGGTTACATTAAATTTTTCTCTCTTTAAAAATAAATATATAGATCATCTAAAAATGAGGGAGGCAATAACTATCGAAAGCGGAGTCTTTACCAATAAAATGTATGATGAGAAAACAATCAATTGAGCATTAAGATATTACTTTTTATTTATTTTTAAATGCATTTTCTGTTTCTGCTTTTACTTCTTTTTTGTTTTTGATTTTGTTTTTATTTGGTTTATTCATTATTTTTTTTGATAAAAAGAGAAAAACAAGTGAGGGTGGCAGGGTTTGGGGAGGTTTTAGAATTTTGAAAAGAGTGGCGATATACTTGTCTCCTTACTGAGCTAGCCTCCGCCCTCATATTTTGTGTACTATATAAAGTCGCCATTTCTTCTTCACATACACCCCATTCTTCGCTCATGCTCTTTTCTTTCTCTTAAGAAAAAAGAAACGCCTTTTATTGGATAAGATTGTTTCGTTTCATACTATTCTTAATTTGAGAACCCAAGTCTTTTCCTTTTAGGTATGTTTGTTCCCAATTCTTGCCTGCAAAACAATGTTTCTGAAGGATTGCTAATGGGTCCTTTCTCTTCTTCTTGTTTATAGAATAGGTGAAGAAATGAAGTACGTGTTGGTGACAGGAGGAGTTGTTAGTGGGCTCGGTAAAGGAGTCACTGCCAGCAGTATTGGTCTTATTCTTAAGGCCTGCGGTCTTCGTGTTACCTCCATTAAGATTGGTCTTGCTTTTTCCCTCATTCTTCTTCCATCTCATTTCTAAATCAACAATGCACCAAATAATCCATACTGCTTTCTTGTGTTAGAGAGCGACCTCATGCTTGTATATGTAAAAAAAATAAAAATTCTTTTAAAAATAGAAAGCTAGCTCAATGACTTTCATTATTTGTATATGGTATACACTTTATGAAATCAGACATTGTTGGATAAATGATTGAGGGGAATTCTGATGGTAGAAGAATATGCTGTGTTCTCCACTCAGATCGCAACCCGCTCCTACTTTGAAGAGAAAAAGTTATTTTCCTTTTGGCTGTTCTCTAGTAAACTGAACTATTGTCTCTGCCGATAAGACACCGGAAATCTTTAAGATGGCGTTTCTCTAATGAATAGTTTTGGTCAAGACTTCAAGTTAATGTTTCTTTAAACTATTATTATTATTATTTTATTTTTTTTGGCAAAAAATGTTCAGAAAATTTGAAGAAGAATTCCTTGTTTTAAGCAACAAAGGTTTTCTTTTTTTTCTTTTCAGCTTCAGCCACAAATTGTTTTTCTTTTTTCTTTTTCCCCAATTTTACATGGGCTCTTGTAAAGTTAATGTTGGCGGAGTTGTAGTTCCTGTGTTCCTCTCTCTAGCTTTCTCTTAGGAAATGGATCCTCCGTTTTTGCTACTTAAGTGATTTTCTTAAACAAGTACAGTGTACTGGTGTTTACATCAATTGCTGGTATAGTCCAAATGAGGTGGAAGAATTGTATATAAAATGTCTACTTACTGTTCCTTTCTTCCTTTTTAACTTTCAGATCCTTATTTGAACACTGATGCTGGCACAATGTCTCCTTTCGAGCATGGAGAAGTGTATGTCTTGGATGATGGTGGAGAGGTTAGATATAAATCTTTCATGTTAATGATTAATATAAATTTTTGTTTGCCCTTTTTATCCCAACTAGTTATCAGGCGGTGCTGATTTCTTACATTATTTTGGACTCTCTAATTTTAAACTAAAACTTGTTACTCAAGTTGGTGATTAATGTTACTGTCGAAGTGCAGATAATTGAAAGTTTTTTTTTTGGGTGTATAGTTTTGCTTTTTAGTATTACCTGTTCTCCTTGTGAAATTAAAGCTTTTGGATGGTTACTTCCATTTCACTTAAGTTAAAGTGCAAGCTGTTTGTTTGTATGTCACTGATATCCAGATTTGTTTTTCACTTGCAGGTGGACCTGGACCTTGGAAACTACGAGCGTTTTCTAGATATTAAGTTGACCGGCGACAACAATATAACTACTGGGAAAATTTATCAGGCATGTCCTCTAAAATTTCCTATTAGATTATTGATGTATGCTCGATGATATTCATAGATTAAGATAGAAAATGTTTGTTATTTTGGTTTTGCAGTCTGTTATTGATAAGGAGAGAAAAGGGGATTATTTGGGAAAGACTGTTCAGGTTTACCACCTTCCTAGAAAATTACATAGTCATTTCTTCCAATGTTTCTGCTCTTATCGTCTGTCTGTCGCTTCTCTAGGTTGTCCCTCACATTACAGATGCCATTCAAGAGTGGATAGAACGTGTGGCTGTCATACCAGTTGATGGCAAGGATGGCCCACCAGATGTTTGTGTCATAGAACTGGGTGGCACAATAGGTATGCTGAACAACTTTTTCACATGAGCAGGGTAAGTTGTCAAATGATACGTGTTTTCTTAAAAGTAATTTGTTCCTTAATGCAGGAGATATTGAATCAATGCCATTTATTGAAGCATTAGGACAATTCTCATATCGTGTAGGTAAGGTTTACTCGTCTAAACTTGATTTCTTGACAATCAAATGATGTCACTGTCAGTTGTGCCCTATGAGTGCAGATCTTGAATTGACTCAGCCTACTACCTTCTAATAATTAAGTGCATCTAACATCTATTCATCAACTTTTGCATGTTAGGTGCTGGTAATTTTTGCTTGATACATGTTAGCCTTGTTCCTGTTTTGAGTGTAGTTGGTGAGCAGGTAAATTTATTTCTGGGTCATGTGGATATCTTCTATTAAAGTAATCACATCAGATTGAGTATTTTGTTATTTTGAAATTCAGAAAACAAAACCTACTCAGCACAGTGTTAGAGGTTTGAGAAGCCTGGGATTGACTCCCAACATATTAGCATGCCGGAGCACAACGGTTTGTCTCTTCCCCCCCTCTCTTTTGGGATACATATCTGTATGTTTATCAAGTTCAGTTCTTGAAGTTGGTCTATTTATTCAGGAACTAGAAGAGAATGTCAAGGAGAAAATTTCCCGGTTTTGCCATGTCCCGGTAATATGACCAAATAATCTTTATTTTTATAGAGCTAATCTTGTTTAGGTCATCAACTCTCAATTCTAGGTGCTCACGTTCTATATTTCCTATTATTCAGCTAGATAACATTATTACTCTTTATGATGTCTCAAATATTTGGCGAGTTCCTTTGCTTTTAAGAGTAAGTAATCTTGACATTATTTTTTTTTATGTATTTCTACTTAACATCTTTACTAGAAGCTTAAAAGAAAATCTGTTGTGTACTTAGGATCAGAAGGCGCATGAAGCAATTCTCAAAGTTCTGAATCTAAAAGGGTATGCATTGGTTACATACATTGATTGATGACAAGGAGTATTTAATATTTATTTTTTCTTCTTTGTGATTTTGTGCTATTTCTTGTATGATGATGAATTTGTTATATTATTTTCAGTGTTGCACAAGAACCTGCTTTGGGAGAATGGACATCTCGGGCTGCACTCTGTGACAAGCTACAAGAGCCTGTATGTTCTCTTTGACAAGCTACACGAGCCTGTATCTTCTGTGATATATATATATATATTATGTATGTATATGTATATGTATGTATATGTATGTATGTATGTGTATGTATATGTATGTATGTATGTGTATGTATATATGTATGTATGTATGTATGTATGTGTATGTATATATGTATGTATGTATGTATGTATATGTATATGTATGTATGTTTGTATTATATCTTCCTTTTTTGAATTTAGTCCCTCATTTAGCATCACAACATTCATAAATATCTCCATCTGAATTTACAGGTTAGAGTAGCCATGGTAGGAAAGTACACGGGGCTTTCAGATGCATACCTCTCCGTACTGAAGGTGATTATACTGTAGTCAAATATATAAAGAGGAAGTTTCCTTATTGTATTTGCACTTACACCTATTTTCATTTAATTGTTATTTTCTATGATATAGTTTTGTGAAAAGTGATCATCAGGCATAACAGTTTTATCAATGACTTAGATTCTTCTGCTAGAGTTGGAAATATGGAGAAAAATGTTGCCTCTGATGCTCCATCTCATTTTCACCTCCGTTTTTTGTTTCGGGTGGCTATTGTATCGTTTAAGCCAATATATTTCCATTTCTATTTTACCTTTATATAGCTGAGAAACAATTAAAAAAAAAAGAACAGAACAATCTGTCAATAAATTAGTTCTCCTTTTTGTTGTCAATATCTAAATCATTGTGAGTTATTTGTGTAGGCTCTTGTGCATGCTTGTGTAGCTTGCCACAGGAAACTTTGTGTAGATTCGATTGCAGCCAGTGACCTTGAGGATGAAACTTCTAGAGAGGTAATTTGCTTCCGCTGTGTTCGCTTGCTTTTAACTCTTGCTTGTTTCTTATCGGCTGATACTTCTACATGCAGAATCCTGAGAATTATAAAAGTGCTTGGAAGTTGTTGAAGGTTTGTGTAGTATTACTCTCTAACATGATGTTGGCCAAATTCAACTCTTTTTATATCCATGTCTTCAGTTTTATTGTTTCTGACTTGTTGGACTACTATTCACTTTACAGGGGGCAAATGCTATCCTAGTTCCTGGGGGATTTGGTGACAGAGGTGTGGAGGGTAAAATCCTCGCTTCTAGATATGCCCGTGCAAACAGGATTCCGTTCCTTGGCATATGTCTAGGAATGCAAATTGCTGTAATTGAGTTTGCTCGATCCATTCTTGGATTGCTAGACGCAAACAGTACAGAATTTGATCCCGACACTCAGAATCCTTGTGTCATTTTTATGCCAGAGGTAAAGAGTGCTTTCCCTTTATCTCTCTTGTCCCTCATGATTGTCCCGTGTTTCTAGTTTTGTTCTAGTAGTTCTCAATTCTAATCTGTGTGATATGATATCAGGGTTCAAAAACTCATATGGGTGGTACAATGCGTCTTGGATCTAGGAGAACATATTTTAAAGTTGAGGATTGTAAATCTGCAAAATTGTATGTACTTCCTTTCCTCTACTTATTCCATAGGATGAAATATGGAACTGCAAAGGAATTCTAATTGACACGAGGGAAGTTGAAATTCATAACCATAAAAGATGATAGTGCAAAAGCAAGATAACTTAGTACCAAGAAGAATCCCTTAACTTACTGATGGTTGTGTCTATTCTATTGCTGGCATCAAATCTATGTTGTCTTCTAGATTGAATAGAATTATGATCATCTGTATTTGGTTTGGAGTTGTTTAAAAGTCAGCAAAAGTTGGGTATTACCGAGTCGTATATTTCAAAGTGTCTGATGTTTATATTTCCATTTTTTCAGTGATGCGACTTCAAGAGATCACATGACAATCATCATGTCTGTCAATTTTTATTATAACACTCTGATCTTCCCTTTCCTTGTAACTTTTTCATTAAATTAGCCTGAGTATGTGCTTGCCCGTAAAATATATGTTAAAGCTTTGAGTGAAAGCTCAGTCACTACCACTTATGACCTTCATTAGTTATTCCCTCTTTTTAGTGTACACTTTGTTTGAATGGTCTTATTTTGAATCCGTACTGTGACTCACCGTTAGATTAAGCATCTACCAGTGCATCAGATTGTGTAGCCTATATAAGCTATTTACAGATTTGAAAGCCAGTGCTGCATTGCTCATCAATTCTTATGAACCTGTCTGCTAGGAAGTTGTTTCTTTTATTCTATTCTTGAAACCTTCTGTTGTGGGTGGAGGTGGGGTGGGAAGGATCAGCATCATTTATCCACAAACCACAATATTAAATATACTATAACTCATCTAAACCATATCTGGTGGAATTTTACCTTTTGCCGTCTCCAACTGAATAAAGTATATCGTGTCAGATATGGCAACCAGAGCTTTATAGATGAGAGGCATCGACACAGATATGAGGTGCGAGACTTTTTCTTTGGAACATTGAATACCTATTTCAATTTTCAATGTTAGGTAAACTTGTAAAATTACATGCGGACTACCCTCTTATATGGACATCACCACTAAAAAGAGCTTATCTCATGCTACTGTTTAGGTGAACCCCAACATGGTGCAGCAACTTGAAGATGCTGGTCTTTCTTTCACTGGCAAAGATGAAAGTGGTCACCGCATGGAGGTTAACCTCTTAGACCATTAAATTTAACAAATCATTATAGCTAGTTATGTTGCTGTGGTTGATTGATCTTGTGGGATGCTTCATCTACAGATTGTTGAGCTACCAAATCATCCTTACTTCATTGGAGTTCAATTTCATCCAGAATTTAAATCAAGGCCAGGAACCCCTTCTGCCCTGTTCCTAGGTATTTCACCTGCTTCAGATATCTGGGGACGAGGAGCCAAATCTGCATTTTATGTTTTTTTCTTGAAGTTGTGCTGATTCTTTGTATAATCTTGTTTCTTTTCTTCTAAACAGGGCTTATAGCCGCAGCAACTGGGCAACTCGAAACTTTGTTGAAGAAGGGCGTTCCCAAAACATGGAGTTTGAGCAATGGTACGTCTGGACTAAAATCACATCGATATGTAAATGGGACAAAGATGGCTAATGGATCATTAGATGGCATTTATTGCAACGGGAATGGTATACATGTCTAAAGGAAACAGTAATATACGTTGTGAGCGCTTGCCCCTGGATTTCTAATTGGTCAAATTTTGCTACTGTATTTGTTCTGTTGGTATGTATAGCCATACTAGAGCAGTAGGTTTTGAGCTTCTTTATTTAGGGTAGAGCGAGATTCCGATCTTTTATACGGAACATCCTGTTGTAGCTCCAGCACACTGGTGGTGGAAATGGGCTATTACATTCAAATCTATGTTTGTTATTCCATCTGCGATGGTACATTAGAGTGCCAGAGAAGATTGAAGACTGGTTTGTCCAGTTTTATATTCAGCTAAATAGCTTGTGTAGTATGAAATGAAATGGCTAAATGGCTACACGTAGTAGCAGGAAAGCTGGATAAAACTTGCGACTGTAAACCAGCAAAATAACCGGCTGAATAGAATGTGTTTTTGGTTATCTGGTTCTTTTTCCATTCCATGGTATGAATCCTGTTTTTCACTCCTCACATTTGTAATCTCTTAATTACTTCTCTCCATTCCCGACTACAAACTTATTGCTGGTTATTTTCTCATAATTTTACCTAAAAACTTGGTTCTTGTAAGCCATCTATGATAAGTTCTACCCTCACCAGTATTCTCGTTAAAAGGTCACATTAATTAGCGGTTGTATATTTAGGCTGTTTTCACAGAGAGCAATTATCTGTTGTTAACCCTAACTTCATTTATTTATGTCTAACACAATGTCAGTTATCTTTTAATTGTGGTTTTAACTAACAATCAAGTGTTTGAAAACTATCTATGGTAAGCCCTCGCTCTCTCTCTCTCTCCAACCTTGATTTCCGTCTTGAGGTCGCCAAGAGCCTTGGTTGGCACCTTGGTACCTCGGGGGAGAACCCGCCACTCTGTTTTATATGTATTGAACTTACTCATCTTCTTGCACTCCAATAACTTTGGCACTCTTGACACTGGTGACAATCATGTATTTTGCCAACAACTCCACTTGAGCTATCATTTAAGCCATGTTTTCATCTTTGTCTTCCTCTTTTCTCATTCATTGGTCATGACATTGGAGTTGACACCCGATGTCACCTGGCCATCCCTTGTGTTCCAAGCTCGGTTAGTTTTAGTCATTATATCCTTTGCTAGTTTGAAAGTTTGATCCATGAGTGAACCACCTGTTCGGTTGTTTGCTGATGACTTGTTAATGGAGTCTAGTGATTGGTGAAAGCATTGCAAGAGCACTCCATCCGGTAACTCGTGATTGGGACACAAGAACACTTCCGTTTTGAAACTCATGTGAAGGCTATCCCACCAATTAGAAAAAAGTTAAGTGATTTCATCACGCAGATGCAACACTCTTGAGGGTGGAAAAAACAGATCTAGGAAAGCCTTGGTTAATTTGTTCCATTAAGTGATGGAGCGTTGAGGTAGCTCCTCTAACCATGTTGTAGCACCTCCTGTGAAGGAGAATGAGAAGCATCTTAGCCTAATGAATTCTTGACTAATGTTTGTGATGTGATTTCATCACGCAGATGCAACACTCTCGAGGGTGGAAAAAACAGATCTAGGAAAGCCTTGGTTAATTTGTTCCATTAAGTGATGGAGTGTTGAGGTAGCTCCTCCAACCATCTTGTAGCGTCTCCTGTGAGGGAGAATGGGAAGCATCTTAGCCTAATGAATTCTTGACTAATGTTTGTGATGTGATTTCATCACGCAGATGCAACACTCTTGAGGGTGGAAAAAACAGATCTAGGAAAGCCTTGGTTAATTTGTTCCATTAAGTGATGGAGCGTTGAGGTAGCTCCTCCAACCATGTTGTAGCGCCTCCTGTGAGGGAGAATGGGAAGCATCTTAGCCTAATGAATTCTTGACTAATGTTTGTGATGTTGAAAGGATGATAAATTACAGTGAATTTCCTTAAATGGCCGTCAACATCCATTTGCAAGGTCTCCAAACAATCCTTTCATTTGGCATAGATGTAGCACCGTGCTAGTAACATGAAAAACGACATTCCCTATTGTCGGAGGTAGGCAAACGACCCTAGGTACACCATGTGATTGACTAATCTCTTATCATGTTCAATCACATAAAACAACAAAACAACGTAAAAGAAAAGCAAGATGCCAAACAATGTGAATCAACAAAAACAAACAACTGGCAATCAATATCCGATCTTCAACAATGGTGACATTTTCAATAACATCTAAAACAAATTTCCAGTCAAGGAGGTGGAAGCGACCATATGTAAAACGAGTACCCAACAAGAGTCGGGGTGGATTTTCCATAGACATTGGATGTTAGATTCAATAAGGTTTGAAAAATCAAACCTGGTATCAAGATTAAAGGGACTAGGGGTGTGCATTTGATAGGCTTAACTTTGATTATGCTATCCATTGATTCTATTATCCATATTGTTGGTTTTTGATAAAGAAATTATGAAAAAAATAGAGAAAGACTGAGAAAAACTTTGAGAAAAAAATACAGAGTCAAAGAGAATTATTTTATTAATAATTCAGCGACATACAATTATAGATATAATTCTTAATTAAAAATAGAAAAATATGCTACTAACTTATCAGTAAAATTAGATAAGAAATAAAAGAAATTCAAGTCACATAGGACTCTAATAAAATAATTTAAAAATTCTAAAAGTAGCTAACTGATTTATTATTGTAATTTTTTTAGACATATCACAACACTCCTTCTTGGATCAAGAATTGTAGATAGTAATCTCATCTGAAATGTCATTCTGAACAAATCTGTTAATTCATCCTTTGTTACAAGGCTTGTGTACGTCTTATGTTGGATTAAATGAAAAGCGTTACCTCTCATTTCAACTTACGAAATTTCTTGCTTAGTGTAATCAAAGATTCGATAATATTTATCTCCAACTAATAATCTAAATCATTTTTTTATTAACTGACCTACACTACACAAACTTTTATCAATATCAGGCACAGAAAGAACATCTGAAAATATTTTTGTACCTGAATTTGTTTTAATTTAAACACACCATTTCCCTTTTGCATGAATACAATCACGATTACCGATTATGACATTCTTAGTTTTCTTAGGAATGAACTCTTTAAAAAGATTTCTTTAATATGTCATGTGGTTTGTACAACCACTGTCAAACATCCAAAAATCAGATTTTTTGGTTGGAAAACAAGTGGTTTTTATCTTCAGTAGTGACTTCGACAACTATTTCATCTTTCTGAATTTTTTTTGGAAATCACAGCTTTATGATCAAGTTGTTTGCAGATCTTGCACTATGCATCTAGTTTTTCCCATCATAAATATGAAAGATGCCCTTTTTTTCATATTGCTGACAAGGTGGCTAAATTTTTTAAAAATTTACTCTTGCTTTGAGTTTTGTGACCGACTATAAATGCTCCTTCAACCATGCCATCTTGCCTCATAAGCCTCCTTTTTTATTGTGCCAGCAAAGAATTTAACAATTCTGCCAAGGAAATTTTGTATAGATTTTGTGGGTCTTTCAAGGTTGTAATACATGCTTCATAGGGCACTGTAACAAGAACCTTTCAACAATTCGTGTATCTTTAAATTGTGCCTAGTAATCTTACCTTGTTGACAATATCAAGCAATCTGTCGGAATATTTTGTTGAATGTTTCTTACTCTTTCATTCTCCGCAATTCGAATTTCCTAATCAAATTTAGTACCTTCATTCCTCTTACTCTTTCATCTCCACCATATTCTTTCTTAAGATAATTCCAAATATATTTTGGTGATGTGAAAGTCATGATTTTCGTGAAACCAATTATTGAAACAGTAACAAACAAAATTGCTTTTTCCTTCGATTTAATGATTTTCTTTTCCTCGTGACTCTTGATTTGGGCAACGTGAAATTATTTGACAGTGAATTAATTTCATGATCCTCTTTCACGGCTTCCCAAAGATCACGAGTCTCTAAGTAATTTTCCATTATCACATCCCATATTTCATATTTCTCACCATGAGAATAGAGAAGTCTTCGTGAAAAATGGTTTTAGAAATCCATTTTTCTACTCACAAGTCCCTTAAGAAGAAGACTCTAAATATCAATTGGTAATTACACCGTGTAATTACCAACAATTCACAAATGAAAGTCGAGGGGGGGGGGTTGAATTTAAAATTCACTCGACTTCTTCTATAGGCCAGTCGACTCACTTGAACATTTGTAGAATAGATAAACAAAAATAATAGTTCGCAGTAAGGAAATAACACAAATAGTTTTATAATGGTTCGGACCGCCGATGTGGTACCTAGTCCAGTTCCCTTGGTTTACAAGGGTTCCTTAAGAGCTTTGAAGAGAGATCTGATAGTAAAGTGATTCTGTAATTTGATCATGTTTGATGTCTAAACCAAATTTCATCTTGACACTACCTCTACTTGTAAATCTACAACCAAATTCTTTCTTTTTCTTTTGTTTTGAATTGTATCACTCACATGTTACAAAGCTTTATGAAAAATATAAGAAAGTTATTCTGTAAGCTCAAATGAAATTGTGTGCTTCACACTTAAGTCTGAGGGTCGTGTATACATGCATAGACCTGGTCTCTTTGTAAGGAAAAACCCAAGGGGTAATTTCCTCAATGAAGGATAATTAAGATATTCCTTGATTGAGACGATTTACAGATTTTATGTTCATATCAGATATGTGCATGGTAAATCATTTCTCCATCCTTCATGGCTTTTGGCTGGCTTTGATTCTTTTCTTGATTGGTCAGCACATCTTCAAATTTTTGTCTTTATTCACGTCTCTTTCTTTCCTTCATAGTTGATGCTATTTGAGGATTTCATTTTCTAATCCCTTTATTTGGTTTTATCAATCAGTGATTGCCTTGATTTAGTTGTTTGCTGATTTGGGGCCATCTGTATATTGATTCTGATTCCTTAGATTTAGGACTTTCTTTCTATCCGTTTCTTTAAGGATGAATCATGTATTTCTTCCATCTTTGTGGTGTATGCGTAGATAATTCCTTTTTTATTTCGTGGCGTGCAAGAAGTGTTAGTAATGTGTTAAGTGTATTTATCAAAATTAACTAGCTTTAGGGAGTTAACAGTTTCCCTTGTTTTGATAATGACAACTTTTTTACAATTTAATCAAAGAGATAAGAGCTAAAGGTACTTCCCGAACCGTATGTAGGCTTGGTAGCTCCCCATTCCTCTGATATCTTAGAAGACAATGTCGACCCCCTTGTCTTAAAGAATATTGTAGGAAGGCAACTTCTCCCCGTTTGGCATAATAAAAAAGAACAAACACTTGATATAAAAGGATTCATAATGTTAAAGCAGTCCGAGGTCAGATAGTCCTCAATAAACTGTCCAAAAAACAAATAGGGACGGACCCCTATTAAAAGTTTGTACCAAAATGGAAGTTGAAGCACAAATACCATAGAGTAGAGGATAATTGTCACATCCGGGTTTACCCCCTAGATGTAACCCTCATCGTCGTCCTTTTCAAGGACTAAGACTAGCCTCTTAGTCTCATGTCATTACATTCAT